GTCTACTTTTCTAGTTACTCTATTGCTTTTTTGGCGTCGTTGCCTTTTATGGGATTTTCTCAACAATACTGAACTATATTTAACGTTGATTCTTGTGTTCACGAATATTCTAGAACCTTGGAGAATTGGCGGGAATTTCTCCATACGTAACTAACACGGTAAGCTAGACACGCTTTCAAATATAAACTTATTGGAAACAAACGTTGATATTAAAATAAATATATAACAAATTCAAAGTCACGCCTATTTCTAAATACAAATTCAATCCAAACAACGTTCATATTAAAAATAAATACATAATAATAAATTCGTTACACACTGTGAAACTAAGATGATTTAATACTTTCACTGTTTATTATCGAGACGAAAAAAAATACATCTAAAAACTGGTACGATCCCAGTCTTACATGAACGTTTGGTAACTCTACGCATCACAATAGCGGCAAACAAATGTTTTAATGATCTCGGTTCAATCACGGTTCATCTAGTTTAAGTTAGAATACATCTTAAAATCTTTCATGGCACTATAATTTTTTTAAAATTGGAAAGAAAATGTAATTATTACGAGAACAGCACTGTAAATCTTCACAATGTGCAACCACATAACAAATACTGTTATTTTAACTCATAGTTAAAATTAATAAATGATAATTGTATGCATTGGGAACATAGGTCATAGAAGAACTCTGTTGAAACACTGATGAAGCAGGGAGAGCTAACTATTTTTGTCTGGGGTTGCTTTCGATATCAAACAGTTTTATCCAAATGGACCTTTATCTTGTTTGAACTGTCATATTGTATTTTTCGTTCTCTCATATTGCACTGAAACTTATCAAAAATTGATGTTTTGAATGTAATTTTCTTGAAATTTGCCATATATACCAATAACTTCTTTATAGGGATTTGTGGGGAAGCTTATTTAATATGCTTACGTTTAGAACTTGTCATGTTCAACTACTTGCCTGTAATGATAGAAATATACTATATCATTTTTATTTCCTGTTATTGTACAAAACTGTTAGCTAGTCACGCGTCAAGTCTCGTAAAATCTAGATACACATACGCTAAAGCTTCCCAGTATCTTTCTGGCGTGCTAATCTAATCATGCTGTTGGTTTAGTGTGTTACTTTCACGCCACCTGCTGACTATTTCAAACGTGAACCATTAAACGTATGTACTATGTGCACTTGGAAGTTTTCATGAGCATGAAAACATACGTGGATTAACGCACGAGTTTTTGAATGAAAAATGACATGTTTTTCATAGTATTTTTTATTTAAGTGATTGTTCTTTCGTTTTGCCCAAAAGATTTTATGTATATATATATATAAAAACAATCTTGAATACGCAATTCAGTAAGTCACGTAACAACCACAGCCGATATAATGTTGCAGTGGAACGGTATGTATCTTAACTGCATGCTGATAGCTTTTGAGAAGGGTATGAAACTGTCCTTTCCGACGAAAAATATTCATATTTTCAGATGTTAAAGATGCTCTCTGTTCCAGGATTTAGAATTTCCAAGACTGGGATATCCATTATATTTAGTGGTTTTAGGAATCAAAGGAATATGGATCAACTTGGAGCACTAGGACCACACGTAAAGAGACCTAACAAGTCGTACTACAGCAGTTGTAAGCAAAGTGAGGCGTCTTTTAGTGGGTGAGAATCCATGAACACAAAAGTCAGTGCCAAAACTAGTTCACGTGTCACAAGCAATACAGTCCAAAGGTATCTTCGTCTGGAAAAGTGACATAAGTTTCTTCCACCATATATGGATTCAATTGTCGTATATCTCAAGTAACTGGAGAATGAAAGGAGTAGTTATGTTATTTTATATGAAGAATACCAGTTAAGTCGCGAGTCGCAGCGTCTAAGGATTTCTCAGGTATCGAACTACTGAACTGTGATGGAAGCTGTCTTCATCGTAAACTAGATGAATGTGCTTTGAATATGACAGACTCCTGACAGAACCTTTTGCAATGGAAACTACGCTGCAGAATTATTGTCAAGGTGTGCGGTTGTAAGAGGAATCATGACCGGACATATAAATATGGACTATAACATTTGGTGAGGCTCCAAGTTCGTTTTAATATAACGTTGTAAGCTTCTGTATTCAGTGTATATATATATATATACCAAGATATAGATTTTTTAATTTCGTAATTTCAGCCCTATACTAGATATATTTTGATATAAGACATTCATATATTTCAAGTGACAATAAAACCACCAAAAAAGTGAATTGTTTCTTATTTGTGATAAATATTTTTACGACATTCTTACTGTGATGCTGTAGATAAGTAACTCTGTTATGTGGATATTCGCATTTCGCTGTGAGAATGTAAAGCGCTTGACTACATATTTAAGTTCACAGAACGAATCAGTGACGTGCCCAGCAGGGATCGGAAACTACTCTGATTGTATGCATCTCGGAAAACACTTAGAGGTGAAATGTAATTTCAATGGTCTAGTAGAAATTGCTTGAAAAAAAAGGGCGTATCATGTTATGATTTTTGAAGATCTCAATTACTCTAAACGTTTATAAAAAAAAGTAATACTTTTAAGAGGAAATTCTTAGGTATAGGTAAATGTAAAATTGTTACCGTAAAAAAAGTTGTCCTCTCGCATTTGTGATGCAACTACAGACTCCTTTAAAGTGCTCTTCTCGATCTTCGCCAAAATATGCAACGTAATTTCGTGTGTTACTCTCGCTGTGTCTGATTAATTGTTACGTTATTTTTTTCTACAGTCATGTGAAGTTTCAACATTAAATAAATATAAAACTGCAATATGATTGTGAAGGCGAAAGCTAATATTAACTTGTATGTTAAAAAACAACATTTTTTATGAAACGGTGAAGCATAAGTATTATGGATGGAAATAGAAAAAAGTTATATACAATACTTTTAGGTATACATAGTAGGTATACATATCGGTATTGAACACAGGTATACATAGTAGATATACATAGTAGGTATTGAACACAGGTATACATAGTAGATATACATATCGGTATTGAACACAGGTATACATAGTAGGTATACATATCGGTATTGAACACAGGTATACATATCGGTATTGAACACAGGTATACATAGTAGGTATACATATCGGTATTGAACACAGGTATACATAGTAGGTATACATATCGGTATTGAACACAGGTATACATAGTAGGTATACATATCGGTATTGAACACAGGTATACATAGTAGGTATTGAACACAGGTATACATAGTAGGTATACATATCGGTATTGAACACAGGTATACATAGTAGGTATACATAGTAGGTATACATATCGGTATTGAACACTGATACATAGTAGGTATACATATCGGTATTGAACACTGATACATAGTAGGTATACATATCGGTATTGAACACAGATACATAGTAGGTATACATATCGGTATTGAACACTGATAAATAGTAGGTATACATAGTAGATATACATAGTAGGTATACATATCGGTATTGAACACATCACTATAAGGGATTAGAGAACACTAAACTTTACATATTATATAGGCTACATTAACGTCACGTTTAGGCGGTTCGTTTAACTATTATACATGATGTAAGTTTTTTTTTTGGGGGGGGGGTAATGAAAGTGTTCCAAAACGCGACATTAATTTCTTGACGACCTAATACTTTCAACTTCACAATTTGATGTTCCATCCCTTATGTTGGCTTTATATACAACAGTATATAATTTTATAGCAATAATATTTATATACTCTCACGTGAAGTTCATTTTGCTCTTCGCTGACTAGAATTATTATGAAATCTTTCGTATCAGCCTAAAATCAGTTAGTACGTGTCTTGTTTGTCTTGATGAAGTCGTAATGGCGAAACGTTGGCTTAAATGAAAACAGCTATGTTTTCTGGAGTAATATATATAGTGTTTTACTTATTTTTTAACAATGAATACAACTCTCCAGTTTGCACTAAAATTTCAAATTATCATGATAACGTGGTTATTTCATGTACTAAAACATTTTAACCTCTACTCTTCTACTGCATTTCAACTGACAACGATACGATGGATAAAAAAACGTTTTAACCCAAAACATTTGCTCACCCATTACGAGAGTATTGTTACAACCAAAAAATTCATATTTTGATTTTTTATGTTTAGGTTACTTTCAAGTGGCTTGTGCAACAACACTCTCACGGCCAGCGCTTTACGAGCAGATCCCCTGAAAGTAGACCCCCACCGTACTGTTCGAGTGGTTTTTCCTGACCAGTCCACTGATGCCATTATTTACGTCACGGTAAGTTCATTATGACCAAGTTTACGCAAAAGTCCATTTTATGGAACCAATAATGGTCAGTTCACGTCGAACTTTATACACAGCCAGCAGTAAGAATGTACGCAAACGAGTAAAATAACCAAAATACGCATTCATTTTATCCATTTATGATACCATTATGGCAGAGTGATGATTTGGTAAGCAGCAGGGTTTAATATGTTTTACAGTAAAAAAAAAAAACTTTTAACTTAACGGTAATGAAACGTTGTTTGACACTAACAACAATTTTAAATGTAACAATGAGAACTTATTGAAGCTGGTGCATACTGGACAAACAAACTGTTATATCAGAATTCGACTTGTGTTTATAATGTCAACCAATATCAGTGAACTTACTATACTTTTAATGAGTTTTAGTGAAGAAAAAAATAACTTATGTTTATCAAAACTGGGGTTCTATATTTATTGTTAGTTATTCAAAGAGTGTACTGATAAGTATATATATATATTATTAATTCAATGAAATTCGCTATAAAATGATGTCTAATATTGTAAAAGTTTATAAACTGTCATGGCGTTTATGGCTTCCTTTAAGTTGACTTTATGGCTTCATATCAAACTTTTCATGATGTCATTTAATATACCATAATATTAACATAGTACTGTCATGGCGTTTATGGCTTCCTTTAAGTTGACTTTAATGCTTCATACCAAACTTTTCATGATGTCATTTAATATACCATAATATTAACATAGTACTGTCATGGCGTTTATGGCTTCCTTTAAGTTGACTTTATTGCTTCATATCAAACTTTTCATGATGTCATTTAATATACCACAATATTAACATAGTACTGTCATGGCGTTTATGGCTTCCTTTAAGTTAACTTTATTGCTTCATACCAAACTTTTCATGATGTCATTTAATATACCACAATATTAATATAGTACTATCATGGCGTTTATGGCTTCCTTTAAGTTGACTTTTCATGGTGTCAATATATATATATATACTACAGTATTAATAAACTGCTGTCATGACCTTTGTAGTTCTAAGGAATGTGTTTTATATATTTTCAGGTAGTTATCGTTTTCTACGCCGCCATAATTCTGATCCTGGTTGGTACCAATCTACACCGTTTTCGACGAAATGGCAGTACTAGGAACAACAGTCCTTCTGATGATGAAGAAGAAAGTGTGGAGCTGGAAGAAAAGAGACACCTAGTGGTTCATCTCGACAAAAATGCTCGTGTCTATCAAACGATCACTCCTGAAAAATTAAATGAGTTGGCTTTGTGACTTCACCCCTGGAGAAAACGTGACGAAATATCAGAACATTGGTCATATTTCTAACAAAATATATCACAGAAGCTCCACAAGAGCTGACAAAGTTCGAATTTCTTTGATTTTGAAGTATCTAGCGATAATATCTTGAGAAGTATCATTTATGTTAGCAAAACAGTATTAATGGAACAAGTTTTAAGTTATTATGGTAATGTGATCCCGTTACTTAACTAAATATATATTTTATACAACTTAAACAAGAAATGAATTGTTGTAACTTTCCTGAAAAATTTAAGGACCCAATAAACTTTGACTTCAACTAGTTCGTAATTATAACTGGATATATGAACCATGTAAATAGTATATACATCTATATTTATAAGTACTAATCTTTTATTTGTATGTTATAGATTGAGGTTAATAAGGAACTCAAACAAGGTTTGTACCTGACACAACCCCTATAACATGTTGAAAGCACTACCTTATATGTCAAGACTTGTGTTCAATCACCTGTAGGATTAGCTTTTACATTGACATACACACATGTGCAAGCATATGCACACAATATAAATTACTATATGTTTTTATTGTAAACTTTGTGAGTTACAAGTTCGATTCTCTAAAGGCCTAAACTTATAAATTACAAATTACAATGAATAAGTTGTGTATGTCTATTCAACTGATCTATCCTAACGAAATACCAAATGGTTTTGAGAACAGAACTTTGTTGTTTTTTTGTTTCAACAAATGTTCTCATTCTTAAGTTCAAGGATTTTTGAAGACATTACTAGTTTTGATCATTCGCTAAAATTTTAGACACTGTGGTGTTTCTCAGTTGGACTTTGTTTTCTCGAATCGTTAAGTAACAATGACTAGTAGATACAAGACATGAAGATTTATTCGGTACATTTATGTATTATATAAGGCTTAAGCCAACACATTTATAAACGGGACCTCTAACGTCTTGTTAAACTGAACAGATATTTGGATTATATGCTTAATATAATTTCTGCATTAGTAGCACCTGTGGCAAAAGAGTATACCTGGAAAACTACAGTTAAACATCTAGGCGTCAGATAACCGATCTGGGGTTAGAGATGTAATGGGGTGGATATCTTATTTGTCACACATTCTCACATTGTAATTTTTATATAAAGAAGCCTATTATGGACAGTTGACGACAATATGTATATATATAATTATAGTATTTTTGGCACTTGTGTATAAAGTTAAAATCATAAATAATATTCAACGTTAAACTGGTACACAGTTAAAAATATTTTATTTAGGCTTATCTATGGCCTTCAAAAATTGACGACTCCACATGTTTCGACGTTACAGCGTCATCCTCAGGAGTTGTAACGTCGAAACATG